ATATCTACCATCCAGTTTGAGGGGGAGGGTTAAATTTCTCCCTCTTTTTAGTAGTTGGGCTCACTCACTCTCCAATCATAGTAAACAAGTTAAGGAATACGGATAAAGGCCTTGGACTATTGGATTAATTTCTATGACTCTCAAATCACTTTCCGTGTGTTTTTTTGCGGCCTTTTATTATTATTTTTTAATATATTCCTATTTTATAATGTCTCTCGAAGGTGTACATATATTTTCTCTCTTGTACAAAATTAAGGATAATAAAATTTTTAAGATCTTTCTCCATTCTTTTATTTTCTACACCTTATATTTATTCTATCATCATAAATTTATAAGCGGAACTTTATCATTAATCGTATACATTTTCTTATTTAGATAAATGGAGGTTTTAATAAAATTCCTAGTTATATGCAGTCTACGCCTTATTCATTACTCTATATAGCTTAAAAATTTGCTCCAGTGATGAAATGGAAGTGAGAGGACAATATTGAAAACAGTGAATTTATTTTTTAATGTATTATCAAGTACCCTGAGCACTCCTCACATTAGTAATTATGCACTGCCTTGATCACTCTTTGATTGCCGTTATTTTGCCAGGGCCAATATTGATCTTCATATTGCCCACTTTTTTGTCCTAGTTAAAAGTGGGATTTCTTTGCCAATAGGCATTTCTTCTAATTTAGTTGGAATTGATGTTGTTGCAGTAGCTTGAATGCATTTCTTAATTGTCTTAGATGTTCTTGTGATGCTCCTCCCTTTAGTGAAGGCCATATAATTGGTCACTTCTTGATTGTCTTCACTTTGTTGTGGTCAATCTTGATCGCCCTATTGTTGAATTCCCTCTGGTTGAGGTAATCAATGTCTATGTAGAAGTTTGAATGGTTTCTTTAGGAGCTCCAAATGCTCTTACAATAACTTATTGAAGACTGATATTCTTGGCATAGATGATAATTAAATAATAAAGGTGTAATTGCTGGCATTGCTGATGAACCATATGATGGTGACAAGGTTCTTACACAGCCAAAAGGGCAAAATTAATTATTCATATTGCCTTTGCCTTGTCTTGAATGTTATCTTCCACTTGCTAATTGTTTCACATCTGGTGATAGTCTGATTTGAGATTCAGCTTGGAGAAGATGGTGGTAGGTTCTAGTTGATCTAGCAATTCATCAATACGTCACAAAGGATAGTAGTGTTTCACATTATTTTGTTGAGGGCTTCGTACACAGCCTTCACATTCCATCCTCTATGAGAATCATCACAATGGGAGATCTAAAAGGAGAGCTGCCAGGTTGCTTTGGTGGTGGACTTTAGACCTTGAGGAGTGATGAAAACTTCTCAATTTGTTTCTACATCTGTATGCCATCATTCCTTCCTATAATAGTGAGGAACAATCAACAACAAGAACATTAAGCTTGCATTGGTGATTGTCCTTACTTGGCATGTTGTTACCATGTCTATTTTTGGTGAACTAGCACTAATAAGTCATTAATGTAGCATCGCGTGCCTTTGTTGAAGGCATGGATTGTCAAAGATGACTTAATATTTGTCTAGTTGAACTACATCACACAACATCTTTGTCAGTGCTTGTTATTATAAATTTGGGTGGCAATCGATTTTCATTTTTTACCTTTTTTTTTGAAAACAGCCTGAATGATAAAGACTTAGATGCGGTATGGTGGCTAACCACAATATTTATATCCAGTTGGTAGAAATGAGGCTCTTTTGACTTATTGTGTTGATGGTGATGTTCATCCCCTTTTGACTGAGCTATTTTCCTAAAATGAACAACTCTTCCAATATGTCGGCTAGAAGATGGCCTGGCTAACAAAGATAAAGCTGAGTTTATCTTATCCATTTGCCTCAAAAAGATATTGTCCACTATAACTATAATTGATTTTCCTTTCTTATCCTTCTTTCACCTTTTCTTGAAGTTCTTAGGGCGCAACTTTCATTTTTTTTTAATGTGGCCTAGCATCAAACTACGCTCATATAACATATCAAGGGCACTATTTTAGAAGGTATAGTTTGTGAAGCATTTTTTTATTTTTTTTACTGCTTTCCCTTATTTTGATACTTATTCTGTCTCATACATTGGTTATTTTGTCTTATAGCTATTATTATTGTAATGGCTTGGATAAGATCAGAAATCAGGATCAATTGTAATTCATTTGCAATTTGAGATTTTTAGGTGTAATTCAGCAACATTTATGATCACCAAATTTTACTCCCAAAGTGCTTGTTTGTTGTCTAAACTTCATCCTATAATTTTGCAAAAGATTGTCTTTAACATTGTCTTGAACTATGCCACTTCTATTGATCTTCCACATAACTTCTACGATATAATTCATGTTGAATCAGCGGTTACTTACTAATCTCTAATTCTGTTCTAGTGAATATTCCCCCATAGCAAAAGCAGGAGGGTTGCTGTAGCCGATAGAGGCTGCCGACAATAGATTTGTTTTACACTGGAAGGAATTTTGGTTTTTAGTTTGTCTCTGTAGGGGCTACCGGGTTTATGAGAGTGGTAGAAGAGAGAGAAGAAATTGGGAGAGATTGGAATGAATTCTATTATAGGAAGTAGGCCTATTTATAAGCGAAATGTACCAGAAGTTGATACGGAATAGTCCTTACCTTATTTTAAACAAACTCTATAAGAGAAGCACTAATTTTCGAATTTAAAGTTTAAACTATTTGAAAGCAAGTTTATAATTTAAAATTCACCAATCCAGGGGGATTTCTAGACTAGCTGACCATGCTTATTTAGTTTTCTGTATTTCCATCCACGAGCATGATCAGGAGGCATTAGATTGATGACATATCTTTAGCTATGAATTCCTCTTAACTTGATCTTCAATCTCAATGGTGTGATATGATTAGAATCAATGTCACTGGCAGCGCCATTAAATATTTGACCTAATAAAGAGGTTTGAATGTCAACCCTTACAGTAAGAGTTACAATCTTGATAAATTTTTCCCTATGATTTTTGAAATTTAAGGAGGTTCTTTCCATCATTTGACAACTTTAGAACTTTTGGCCCAATTCTTCATGACTGTTTTTTACAGTATGACCAATTTTTCCACAAAAGCTTATATATCCTTAATTATATTCCTCTTGTCCGGTTTTCTTGGTGTTAGTTTAATAGGTTTGGGGGATTAGAGTTGCCAGTAATACATTCTCTTAAGGGTACCACCCCACACTAAACAGTTAAATGTAACAATTTTAATATTAAAAAGCAGCAGAATTCTTTGATGAGGATAATACCTTGAAAAATTCTAAACTGCAAGTGTTGCAAGAAGGTGGGCTTGGACTGGTGGCTAAGTTGCCTTCATTATCACTTGGAAGTAAATTTTATAATGGCATTGGTTGTTAAAATTACTTATAAATTTTCATGATATATTCTTGGCAAACTTTTGTTTTTGTGGCATATCATATGTGGAAATATCTATTTCGTTAAGATTTCATTTACCTGTGGATATTTCAAAAAGCTATAAGGTCTGGATGGCATCGATGCTGAAAAAACTAAATCCAAGTGATCATTGTTGAACAAACTACTGATGCTACACCAATTATTTTGTCTGGTGTGTGTAGTTGACATGCTTTTATAGTTCTTGCCATAGCACTTGCAAAACAACCTCAGCTGGTTGCATGTTAGCTACCTACTTTAGCATTGTAAAAGGAGTAACCATAAACAAGTACAACCTCTCTTAATCGTGCATTTCTTCTCTATTTGGCTATTTGCAGATTGTAGTAACTCGTGCATTTTATCTCTATTTGACTTTTTGAATAGTGCTGTTTTTGGATATTGCATTCTTGAATGAAAATAGTATGTTTGGGCCATAAATTATTATTATTTTTTTGTTGTTGTGATTTCTGTTTATTTTTGCCCTTTCCATCATGATGTGAACAAGCTATTTCTGTGGAATTGGTAAAGTTAGGATCAAACAAGGAAATCGAGCTATTTTTTATTCAATCCCCTTTAGGTATACCATTTTCTATTGATTAATATATTTTATTGCATAATAGAGGGTTAAAAATTGACTTCCTGATATAATCTTATTTGATTTAGTTCTGGAATCATATTTTAGAGCAGAATATAAACTTTTTTATGTATTAAATATATACATCTTGCCAATAGCCTTATGGCTGAAGCTAAAATTGTATATTAGATTAGATCTAGCAGAGTGGAAGTTCGATCTTCATGTTGGTTCTCTGGTTCTGTGCTGTCAATAATTTTTTGACTAACTTGAATGCTGCGGATCACTTGCTTTTCACCTCCCTAACTGATATTAGTATTTTTCTTCTTTCTTTTATGATGCTATGCCTGTCCTTTTTTTTTTCTTTTCAGGGGGAGTGATTTCCTAGCTTTTTTTTTTGTCAATGCTTAAAAAAGTGAGTGGAGAAGGGTAAGCAAAGGTTTTTTGAAATGAAAAAATAGTTGAAATGATGGATAATTGAAGCCAAGTTTTACTATTCTCTTACAACTTCAAGTTTATGTTATATTAACTATTACCATATTTTGAAAAATCTGAGTTGCATGTTAGTTATGCCAAGTTCTGGTAAAGTCAGCTTCTTTAGCTTTTAATAAACATTTTTAAAATGTGTTGAAGAAGCTGTGACTAATTATGCATCTAGTAGGAGCAATCAACAGTTGCTTATTTTCACCATGCTGCTCTTTGTTAAATGTGAATGCTAGTTGCAAACGTACTTGTGCAAGCTCACTTAGGATGACTCGAAGGATTTGTAGCTAGGAACTTGACAAAATTTTATAGCAAAAATATTGAAGTGACAATCTTTACAATCGCTTGAAACGTTTGTTTTGCTAGCATTTTCTAGAATGAATAATGGTACTAGGTCATGTGGGAGTTTTCCTGGCCATGCTTTTGTGCCCAAAAAATAAATCATGATGGTTTTTTCACAAAAGAAAAAGAAAGAAACTTCTGCTGCAAGTTTTTAAAAAAAAAAAATCTCATTTACCTGTTCATTGTGAATATTGTAGGAGAAGTTCAAGAATAAGCCCTGGGTTTTGGAGGACGAGACTGGGCAGTATCAATATCATGGTCAACTTGAGGGCTCACAGCTTGCCACTTATTATTTGCTTGTGATGCAAGGAAAGGAGTTTGTAGCAATACCTGCAGGTTCTTGGTAAGCATGCATTGATAAATTTAACTTCATAGGTTTATATGTGATTATTAGCTGCATTTCATGGGGAGATAGTGGGTGTTACACCTATTGAGGATAGGATACTAAAATTTGATTTAAGTGGTTGGTCTGTGTACAAGTAATATGGGTAGATGAAATTAGTGTCGAAGAAATAGCAAAGCTATGAATTGACCAAGATAAAGTCGCTTTTTTTTTGCAAAAAAGTCTTTCTTAACCCTCATTTAGCTCTCTAATGAATGAAGAAGGGTCCATAAAGCTAGCTACAAATGATAGTGATGATGATTTTTATCTGATTTTATTTACTTGCTTAGTCAGATTCATGGAATTCTTATTTCTTAATTGCTATTTAGTGTATTTTTGCATTCAGTGAACAATCCATATGAGAGTCCATTTACTTTTTAAACAATAAGAATGAACAGCAATTACTTATTGCAGGTATAATTTCAATAAAGTTGCTCAATACAAGCAATTGACCTTGGAAGAAGCTGAAGAGATGATGAACAAGAGAAAACATAATGCTACTGGTTATGAAAGATGGATGATGAAAGCAGCAATTAATGGAGCTGCAGCTTTTGGTGAAATAAATAAATCCGAGGGCTTTGCTGCTGGTGGCAATGGGGCTGATGGGATTCGGCATAAGAAACCAAAAGCTGAGGAGAATGGTGATCATTCAGATAGAGGCGAGGAAGATGAGAATGAAGAGGAATCAAGGAAGCTTAGGCTTGGGCTTAACAGAAAGGGTGGAGATGATGATGAGGATGGTGGAAAAGTGGATGATATGGATGATGATGACATTGAAAAAGGTTTATCTTGCATTAATTTTTGTTCCCTTTTTTTCCGTGCATATTTTTTTCTTCCTCATAATACTGGTTATCACTTTGCTGAAGTTGACAAAATAGACTAGAATGGCGGTGCAATTTGAAAGTTTTCAGCTTCATTGGCAATAGTGTGATATAATTCATCTGAATTTTGCAGCACTAACAAAAACAGTTACTAGGTCATGGTTCCATGAATGTTCATGCTGTAGTCTCTAATAATCTTCAAACGACTACTGCTGTCATTTTGTAGTAATCTAAGCAACATTTAACCATTCTATAGTTAAATGAAGTTTTTATATTCTATAGGCTATTTAAGAATATAAAGGCTATTTAAGCTGATAAGCTAGGTATTACTAAAATATAGTTCTACCTTGTAGCATCATAAAGCCTTAAATTTATATTTCTTTGTTGAAGGAGGCATACTTTAGTCGATTTGTTTGAATTTGGCTTAGTAACAATAAATTGATAACACCAAGATTCAAAGGTTCCTACTTTTTTGTGTCATTGTTATTTAAAAGTCAAGCATTCATCTCGGCATCTAAGCAAACTGATTCAATGCCTCAAATACCTTCCTAGCAAATACCATGACTAAGGCGCTGCCTAGTTGAGTGTCTTTATGTGATGTGCTATAAGTGCCGGGGCCCTCGTCTCTGTGATGTATCTTTTTTAATTAATTTTTGAATGGCATGCGCTGTTATATTATGAGATGGAGGGCTATTAATTTAATGACAAGGAAGGGAGTACATGTGATGAAGAAGGTGAAATAGATAGTTGTGAATATTATATTAAGCTATTGCTATATAGAAGCTACCAACGTGTTTGTATTTCCTTATCCAAACTTGAAACATAACCTTTGGGTTTTATTGATGCTTTAGTTTAAACAATCCGTGTAATAACATATTTTTGTCATTTAGGTAGTTTGAATGACAAGAAATTTAAATTCTATTTTTGTTTTACTATATTTAATTACTGTTTTGTACTCGATAGAAGTTTTCCTCGTAATTAAAATAGATGAATTTTTGCCTTTAGTCAAATAAGCACCTTGGGTTTTAGGCAACCGTATTTTTCACAGCACTAATGTGAATATCCTTGAAAGATATTTGAGATATTCTTGAAAAGTTTTCTTTTTAAAATGACAAAATATTGTTGAATAAGTATAAAACTAATTTTATTTGTCTCTTGCGGCATACTCATGTCAATATTCCATTCTCTTTAAATTATCACCATTATCTCTAATGCTCTGGATTTGAGAACTGAGAGTTAATCAGTAACATTTCCAAGGTGTTGTCTTGTGATCTATTCATTAGCTCTTGAGATTGTTATTTTGCATCTCATGCATGCACAAAATTATTGTGTTCATGCGCAAGATTTCATGGTTTCATGTTCCGTATTTCATAGTAAGGCTGATTATGCATTTTTGCACTAAAATTTTAATTTTTTTTTTATGTCTTCTGAAATCTGTCTTCTGCTTAAAAAAGTTAAATTTCAGTGTTTTTATCTCACCTTTATTAAAATGGCTATTGGTTTTTTATGCACGGTGAAATTTTATTTGCTGATGGAAATCTACGTATTTATTTTCATCAAAAGCATTACCTCAATGTCGGTCAACTTTTTGATTTAGAAATTTAATTTAAATATAAGAGGCATACAGTTTAGGTTTTGAAAGTAGTGTGTTTTAACTTTTGCAAAATGAGACCAAATGGATCTCATTCGTCCAATAGTTTGCATAATCGTGTCCGATACCATGAATATTACACATTTCCAAAAGGTGAGTGTATACCTCGACGATAAACCCAATCCTGCAAACTAAGAGATTTGTAATATCCGTTTGGCCTGCGAACATTTTATGTGTGACCGACAAGTTCCCCTATCTTATACAAAGATCAGATAGAGTTTATTTTACTTGAGTTCTAAGTTCCCTATAGAGGCAAACCCCTATAGTTAATTACATCTCAAATGACTGGGGTCACTTGAGAAAATTCTCGATAATGATCAGAGGTAATAGTCTTCAAGATTTCAAAATTTAGGTTTTCACAGTAGAACGTGGAAATGCAAGTGGGAGTGACTCAAATAGAAACAGTTATTTCAGGAGTCCAAAGAAAGGAACAGATAGGGGATGTCACAGATATTGAGAAGAAAGTTCAGTGATTTTCCAGACTATTCTACTGTGTGGCTGTATTTTGGAGAAGTTGTTATTTAGATCTTTTAATCTTGCTAATTTTATTATGTGGGACTTACACTTGCATAATAACTGATTATGTAAATAGCTCACAAAGAGATGAGAGGGTTTACGTCGTGTCACACGACAACCTCAGAGTCTAAGGCGAATTAGGACTTAACGCTGCACAACATAGTTGTGCAGGAGCCTAAAAAGGGACGAGGACTTACGTCGCGCTAGGCGAGCTACCTCGAAGTCCTATCGGTTGTTAATTAGACTAAGGAAAGAGATTAATGAAGAAGATCCTCTTGCTGCTCGGTCTGAGTTCCTCATCATGCTGCCGTGCTGCCCACAAAGTTGGCTCCAACCTTCTGCCGTCGCGATAGCTCCAGGGTTTAAGTGGTTGAGATTGGTGGTTTATGATTCACAGTTTTGGTGTCAAAGTTTGGTTTTGTTTTGTTTTTTATTGTTTCGGTTTCAGTTCTGGTTTTGCATGCAGAATAAGCAAATCGCAAGTAAATAAAATGTACTTTCAAAAGTAAAATGCTGTAAATAAACTATAAAAGCGTACCTGAGCATATGGGTCTGTTGTGTGATTAATATTGCGATAGTATGATTTACAATAGATTTAAAAACACTTGCAAGAAAATTAAACAAGGCGAGAAAACCCAGCATGAAAGTCAGAAAAATGAGTCGTAGAAATCACAAGCAAACGAAACACTTAGCCACATATGAAAGACCAGAACTGAGTGTAAGACATTGGTAAAAGTAGGGGCTCAAAGCTGGACTGTGTGCTTCCCGATCTTGAATAAGAGCTACCAACCCGACATTCCACGGAGGGCAGTTCTTAACTTCAATCCGAGTGATTAGCCATGGACCTTTATAAATTTTCACAGAAAATTTTTTTGATTTTTATGCAAAAGCTGTTGTTTAAGTCTTTTTTATGCATAGTTCTTTTTAACATGTAAAAGAGATTTTTGTTTTATTTTTGTAAATATTTTGTAAAGTCGTGTAGTTCATAAGCTAATTACTCTAATCGTGCTAGAACTACTGACAACCTAAGAGTGTCGGGGGCAACGATCTCACCAAGAATTGACGAATAGTATCATGGATCATTCCCTCTCCTTTATTGAAGATCCTTGAGGTATGAGATACTATTCTAATAATCTCACTTCCTATCTCTCGTTTAAGCACACATAAGTAATGTCGTCATTGCTCTCGCCACCTAGACCCTAGACTTATCCTAGTCTGATGATCCATATGTGGCGTTAACAAATTTTCTCAATTGCCATTAGGATTTGAGTGTAATATTCAAGCTCAAATCCCGGTGCACTGGGTTTCATTGTATGTTAAGTCATTGAGAGAATTTCAATGTTGATTTAATTAAGAAAGCATGGACTACGCCTCGGTGCATCCTCATGTCTAGTGTCTTAATCAGTTTGTTAGTTGGGTCAAGTGCCAAGTTTCATTATTTATTCGAAAATTAGGTGGATGAACTCTCACCTAGGATGTGCTCCTAAAATCTATGAAGCCTATGCTGAGAATTAGGTGGATGGACTCTCACCTCGGGTGTGCTCCTAAAATCTAGGAAGCCTACACTTTAACATTTGCTTAAAATGATTCAAGGTGTTTTACCCTCAATTAAGTGTTTTCCAACGAATCATCAAATATTTCTAAGTGTCTTCCAAGTAATTAAATCAGAAATTTCTATTTTTTTTTACTTAACCATTTAACAAAAGTAAGAAAACAAACGAAAAGAAGGCCGACCCACTTCCAAAAACTAACAAAGCCAACGAACGAAACAGCAAGTGAATCGGTCTAAAGAAAAATTAAATTCTTTCAAAAAGTGTAATTAAATCGACCACTGAGAAGAGTACTTTAATCTATTCCAAAACAGTGTTTTGATCGGCCCGAATGTTCCATAATTCAGAGTAAAAAAAATAAAACTCAAAAGCCACCAAATAGATTAAAAAAAACTGTAGCCCAAAAGCCACGAAACGGAACAAAAAAAGTACAACCCACAAAGACACTTTCAAACAGCTCCAAACAATGGGCGGTCAGTCAAGAAATTAGTCCAAATTTTCCTCCAAAATAACATATACAAAAATCACAAATCAGCCCAAAATCGGCTCCTGGAATGACTCCAAAAACAACGAAAGTATCGAGCAAGGGCAGTCCCCAAACATTGCCCTATGCGACCCTTAATCCTTCCAAAATTACTGAAAAATCAGAGCACCAAACACATGTGAAACCACCAAAATAGCAACAGTTAAGGCTTCCAAAAAGAATCACAAATGTTTCCAAAATATGTACGCTAATTGCTACATGTGTGTTTGCATATCAAAACTCAATTTCAGTGAAATGCAATTAAAGGGACTTTGCATGCACATCACTCAATCCTACATATTTACAATCCCATCACCCAAATTTTGATGTTTACATACCTACTACCTTGACTATGCATGAGAAAGTGCATTCCTTGTTTAAAGGTTGAAATCGTAGTAAGCTTTATGTGATATGAAAAGTTTGGTTGACATAACGTAATGAGTAGAGTTGAGGTGTTAGATATGTAAACAAGTAGGAGATAAGTGGTATGTGTGTAAATGCCCCAACACTTTAACATATCAATGTACATAAGACTAGTATCAATAACTAAACTGGAAAATAAAGCCATAGGTTTTTTGTCTGTCAAAATAATTAGGCAAATAGTTGAAAATACCGAAGATTAATCGATTGTAGATAATACATCAAACAGTTAAGTTGAAATCATTAATCACGATATAATTCAACCCTAAATATTTGTCAAACAGTCGTTCCCCTCTGCACATAATTAGTTCATGGATTGACAAAATTCATCCATAATAAATATGAGCAAGATAATCTAGAAATAATACTAAAATCATCCATAAAACTGCAGAAAACAACGACACAGACATCCTTGTTCCATCACTCTAGTTCACATATTAGCCTCATCTTCTTCAAAAAAAGAAAAGAATTCATGCGCATAACCCTAAACTAGCAGAAAAGTGCTCCTGAATTACCTGGAATCGATCAGACGGAATGTCTGCGATGAACCAGCTCGTGGTCGGAATATCAATGCCTTTCTCGCATGTAGGAAAGCGGATGGAGAAAAAAAATAAAAAAAGAATGTGAGCTTCAGTGCCGAGGGGAGTCGCAGCAGGCAAGAGTTTCAGTACCAAGAGAGGAGGCGAGCGGAGCTTCTTTTATCGAGAGCGGGAAAGAGGAGTCGGGATCGAGAGAGGAAGAGGGAGATAGGTTCGATCGTGAGGAAGAGGGGGCTGGGTTCGATCGTGAGGAAGAGGGGGTTGGGTTCGATCGTGAGGAAGAGGGGGCTGGGTTCGTTCGCAAGGAAGAGTGAGGAGCGAATAAGGAATTTTTTCTGTGCAGAGGGGAGCTCGCGAGAGGGGGAGGTGCGACAGGCCAGGGCGTCGAGCGGGAAGCGGGGCTTTGGTTGCAGCGAGGAGAAGATGAATGCTGGGAGAATTTTAGTGGAGTCGAGAGAGAAGGAGCTTGTCAGGGATGGTGTCGAATTTGGATCGCAGAGGGGGAACGAGATCGAGCGGAGGTGGAGTGGGAGCCTCTGTCGAGCGAGGAATGTCCGGAAGGCGGCACTGGTTTCGGTGCGAGAGGAAGAGGCGGACTGAAAGAGGAGAGGTGCAATGGAGGCGAGTGTTTCAGTGCAGGGAGGAGATGAGCGCGTGTGGGAGAGGGCGGCGAGGTCGAACGAGGAACTTCTGTGCTGAGAGGGGAAGGAGCGGGCGAATGGTGAGACCAAATTATTCCATGTAGGCCTTCAATGTCGGTGAGGAGCGGGGCGAACTCTATAACCACACCTTCAAATTTTATGTTACAGGACATTAGGCTGGCTATTGAATGTTTTCCATCCGTGCAACAATTTTATTAGGTAAATAATAAATTTCAATTAACCCCTATTAAAGTAGAATTAGGTGGTTAATTTTAAAATCTGAATTTTTGAAATTTGAAATTATTTAGCCTGTGTTCAGCTCGTATCCAGCCCAAGTCGAACCCGAGTTGAACATGGGTTGAGCCCGGGCCTGAGCACCGCCAATTAAAAAAAACGTGCATTGATTTTCTTGTCATTTGTGCGTGCGCGTAACCCTAGCAATGTGGATGTCTTTCCTAGCTAAATTCGACTTCCCGGACGCATCTGTGTGGTCCATTTCGTCATCCGGAGCCGTTCGGGAGAGTTCGCTGACTGTTTCGTGCGTGTAGCGAGTGCGTTGCTGAGTTGCGAAGGGTTCACCTAAGGCCGTCTGATCCAGTAGGAACTCATATTCGGATTTTCGGGTACTCTATATGTTTGTCCTTAGCCATTGCAACTAGAAGTTAAGTGCTCGGAATCACTCATGCGAGTTCCTCACAAAATGAGTCAAGAAGTGGTTTGAAGTTCTACGGGAGGCGGGTTCCATTACTAGTCTACTAAGATGGTCAACAAGGAACTCTTAAGGCTAGATTTTGGGTTCTGGGAGTAGGAAGCTAAGACCTCATTGAAAATGAGGTCAACAATCAAGTAATAATTTAAGAATAATGTATTTTTTTTTTCTTCTATATTCGAGGCAAAAGATGTACTTAGAGAATAAAAGGAAAAGTTCCTATAAATAAAACTAGTTGGTGGTGGAATAATAATGTGCAAGAAAAGATAAGATATAAAAAGTTGTGTTATAAAAATTGATTTAAATGTAAAAGCTTAGAGAACTGGAAAAAATATAAAATAACCCGTAGGGAGTCTAAGACAACAATTTGTGATGCTAAAAATTATGCTTTTAGTAATCTTTATAATATATTAGATACTAAAGAGGGTGAAAAATATATGTATAAAATAGCCAAATGAAGAGAAAAAGGTAAAGATTGACTAAAGTAAAGTGTATTAAAGATGAAATCAAGAAGTGTATTTCTTAGAAAAATATATTCAACATAGGTAGGTGAATTATTTTGATAAACTTTTCAATAAAGTTTATGAAAGTACTATCGATCTCAGTGATCTTAATAATAAAATGTTTCATTTTTACAGTCACATTAGTAAAAATCAGTTGAGGTGACTCTAAAGAAAATCAATAGTGGAAAGTCTGTAGGACCTGATGATATCTCAAATTGAAGTGTGGATGTATTTAGGAGATTTGGGAGTATCTTGGCTTACTAAACTCTTTAATATTATTTTAAAAATTAAAAAGATGCCTGAAGAATAGAGGAATAGTATTATGATCCTTATTTTGAAGAATAATGGGCATGCATAAGAGTGCGCTAAGTATAGAGGAATTAAGTTGATGTGTCATATTTTAAAATTATGGGAGAGGGTAATTGAATATAGGTTAAGATGTATTATAAAGATTTTCATAATTAGTTTGGATTTATGTCGGACAGGTCTATTAGGGAAGCTATACATTTATTGAGAGGTTTGATAGAGAAGTACTGAGAGAATAAGGAGAATCTACATATGATTTTTATTGATTTAGAAAATGCTTACGATAAGGTGCCAAGAGATATTCTTTGGAGAGTTCTAGAGAAGAAATGTGTTGATATGACTTATATTCAAATCATTAAAGATATGTATACTAGAGCTATTACTTCTGTTCGAACAAAAGGAGGATTGACCAAATAGTTTCCTGTTTTAGTTGGATTACATCAGGGATCAACTTTAAGCCCAAATATTTTTGCTTTAGTTATGGATGTTCTTACTAGAACTAGACGTTTACAGGGAATGTACATTGGTGTATGCTTTTCACTGATGATATTCTTCTTGTGGATAAGACTAGAAAAGGACCTAAGGAAAACTTGAATTATGGAGTTTTACATTAGAGTCTAAAGCCTTCATTTGAGTAGAGCTAAAATTGAATACATGGAATGTAATTTTAATAGTACTAGTAGCAATATTGACAGAGTTGTCACTATGGGTGATCAAATCATTAAAAGGTATGATGCTTTAGATATCTTGGGCCTATTGTTCAAAGTGGTCATATAGATGAGAATGTTGACTTTAAAAGAGAAGCATAAAACTGAGTTAAGTGTTGTCGAGATGATGTTGTCGAGATGGTGTTGTCGAGATGAGAATGCTTAGGTGGATGGGTGACTTTACACTTAGAGACAAAATGTGAAATGAATATATATGTGATTGCATTGGCGTAGCTCCAGTGGCAGACAAAATTAGAGAGTCACCTTAGATGCTTTGGTCACATTAAACGTCGACCATCTGATAATCTAGTTAGGAGCGTAGATGTTTGAGATTTAACTTATGTTAAGAAAGACAGAGGTAGGCCAAGAATTACTTGACCCCACTAAGTGTATAAATGCATGTTTTTGTTGTACCTTTATATTATGAAAAACATGGCAATGATGATGGCTGGTAGAGAGGCAGTTGATGTTGCTTAGGCAGTTTGGTATTATATGGAGCTGAATTCTTTTTTCTATTTTAGGTAGTGGACCACATCCAAATATGTGGTTTTCTGGGTTTACTTGGAGTTTCATAATCTGATGGCTAGGTTTTGAATTATGGATTTTTGTCTGATCTACCTTAAGTGAGACTGGTTTATGGATTTATTTCATATTTAATTTGGTGGTGAGGTGGTTCAGGTTCTTATGTTTTCCCATATATTTGTGACTCATATTACACAAACTACACCTTTTCGTTGGTTTCGTGCATTCAATGGCTTTATTGGTTTCATATTCTATAGCCACCCAATACAATAGTTTGCATATGTTCATATTTTGGTTTTATGGATAGAATGTTACGCATTTCAACTCATAATGAGATGTTACTATCTTTTGGGATTTAATTTAAATGTAGATTAAATAAAATCTAATAGGAATAAATTATTTTCTAATATAACTTCTAACAGTAACCATATCTATCTGTTCTGGGGATGAGGAGTCTATAAATAGATGTTTTATAACATTAATTAAGCAAATTTATCTGAATTAATATTATCTTTCTAGTTTGCAGTTTTCCATATGCAAGTTGGATTTTTTATTAGCTCTAGTATTATACAAGTGCGATTACCTAATTTTAAGGGAGTTAATTTCTACCAATATTAGGCCTATTTTTTTTATTTGATCACTTTTATTTCTTGTTTTTATTTCATTTACGTAGCTTGTTCAAATTTGGCATAATTAAATATAATTTGTGAAAATTAAATGACAATTCCATATTGATTTTACATGATTTTAAGTTCTTGCTGATTATTTTAATTTTTTTATCAATTTGGCATCATTTTATATCTAATTATAATATTGACTGTTCATATTTAAACAAAAAAGTTGATAAATAAATTGATGGCCGGGGAACTGTAAATCTTTAAGTTCATTTGCATGAATACATTATATGATTCACAACGGTTGCTTTAGGAAATCTTAGTCTTGGTTGTCTTGCATCACTTGCATTTTGGTCGTTGTCTTCATCGAATGTATTTACATTATCTTTTTATCTATTAGTTATATAAACATTTGTATAACAAGCTTGGTAAGTGCTTAAAATCTTTGGCTTCTTATTCCCTCAACCATCCATCTTTACTCGATTAGGATCTAAGCAATCATTCGTTTAAAGGTTATTTTGAAGTCAACTCTTTTCCTAGGTGATGATTGGGAGCATGAAGAAATTTTTACTGATGACGATGAAGCTGTTGGAAATGATCCAGAAGAACGGGAAGATCTGGCTCCTGAAATTCCAGCACCTCCTGAAATTAAACAGGTTTTGCAAAGAAAAATATTAATAATTGATTTAGTTAATTATACAGTCATTAACTCCATTGTTCTCTTGATCTTGTCTCACGAGTATAGAAAAAAATGTATCTTTAGATGAATGTTTTGTGGCTTCATTACTCCTAATGGAGATCTATTTTTACTTCCTTCACAATGTAATATTAAAACTAGGTTAAAACTGATTCAAATTATTTGCTCAGTTGGCTTGTTTCTTAGCATGCATCTTTATGCAACTTATGTACTTTTATGTATTCTTTTTCTTCTTGGCTTTTATGAGCATGTTTTTGGTTAGTTTTGGCCAATGACATAGATGAAGAATTATTTTGGGTTGATTGGCATGATTTGAAAGTTTACCATCGACATAGAATAGGGGGTTGTGTGAACGCATGTTGTAATTAATATTTCTAACTAATTTCTCTGTTCTTTTTTTTTCGGACAAACATTATGAACTAACCGGTCAAACTCTGGCTACCTGGCTTATCTAAATTTTGGTACTGCAGTCAACATAATTTATAATTTCAATATAAAAATGTAATTTTCATATAACTTAATTCCATGTTGGCAATGTCGAAGTTAATACATAAGACCTTATTGTGTTTTAGATAATTTGAGGCCTAGGCAACCCAAAATTTTACTTAATGGTACATATCATTGTCAATGAAATAGTCTTCAAAAGTTTGTGGTTTCCATTAAAAGCTCATACAAAATATGAGACATGATGTTCTACTCCAAAGCAACAACAACAACAACAATTCTTTAACCCACTAAGTGGGGTCCTTTTTCTCCATTGTGTCCTATTGACCTAGTCCTTTTTCTCCATTGTGTCCTATTGAGTGTCATATTTTCATTTAATTCTAAGAAATAAATATCATTTTTATACAACATGCCCAAGTCTTTTTAGGTCTACCTTTACCTTTCTTAACATGAGTAGAATCTAAAACACCTACTCTTCTAACCGGAACATCAGATGACCAACATTTAATGTGACCAAACTATTTTAGAAGACTCGCTAAGCTTGTCTGTCTCTGGAGCTACACCAACCCTTTCATGGATACATTCAATTCACATTTTTGTCTCTAAGTCTTAAGCCACCTACCCACCTAAGCATTCATCTCAGCAACACTCACCTTACTTTTATGCTCCTTTTATAGGCCAACATTCTTCGCCGCAAACCATTGCAGGTTTCGCCAACATTTTATAAAATTTTCTGTCAAGTATAAGTGATACTTTTCTATCACACAATAGATCCAATGTGTTTCTCCACTTAAACCAGCCAACTTGAAATCTACTGATAACATCCCCATCTAAGCCCGATGTTCTAATCCTTGTAATTAAATTTCATATTGTGATTGTTACTTATACAACATCAATAATCAATTCATTTATATTTTAATCATATTCATCCCTAAATATAGTTTTTTTTTTTTTTTGCTTTTCATTAATGTAATAAAGGAAATAGACAGACAGGTTTTTTTTTTTTTTTAAGATTTCTAATTTTAACTTGATTTGTACTAAAGATTAATCCTTCTGCCTCAATTTTGTGATGCTCGTCATTGCAAATTTGTGTTTTTTCTTTTTTATTTACGTCATTACAACAACATTTTGAAATCAAGTGAAAAATTAGAAGAAATGCTTTAGAATATATAAAATTAAAGCTAATATAACAAAGATTGAATGCTTGAAGCTTAATTTTAGTGGATATCATGTCAATAATTATCATTATAAATGAATGATACCTAATTATGATAAAAATTTTGGATCTATTATGTAGCCAATTGGAGATATAACTTTTAGAGTTAAAATTGGGTGGTTGAAATGGAAAAGTAGTTTAAGAGTTTTATGTTATAAGAGGATAGCATAAAGATTTAAATGAAAATTTTATTAAACTGCTATTATGTTGGCATTCTTGTTTAACTACAAATATTGGACTATATATTGATATTTAAGTTGAGTATGATGAAAATGATAATGCTTAGATGGATGTCTATCAAATTTTAAGGAGGATTATTATTAGAGGAATGATTGGAGTGATATCTATTTTAGATAAAATGATTGAAAATATATTTAGGTGGCTTTGACATGTACAATAAATGGTAGAAAATTTACCTTTTAGATGAGTTAATAAAATTATTGTCAGTGGATTAGGAAATATTAGGTTCAGACTTAAGGTTTATATGGATATAAGTTGCTCAAAATAATTTATGAAAAATAGGTTACACTATTGATAGCAGTCAAAAGGAATGAATGAAAACCAAGGTTTCATAATACTAACGAAATAATTGTGATAAGGCTAATGACGATGACAACAAAATTTTAAAGTTTAAAATCAGTAATGATGAGGAGTTCAGCTAAGTCACAATGGAGGTTGATACTACTGATTTAACTATGCTGCCTATGAGACAACTTATCCAAAGCATTGATTGTGCAAATGACTACATGTGTTTGAAGTAGAACTAAAAAAACTAAGCTTTAGGATCTACTATGAACCTAAAAAATGAAATTCTCGGAGGCTCAATATTTAAACTGATAACATAATACTTGATTAAGGTTTGACATGGAAATAAGAAAAAAATAATTATCATACTTCTAGAACAAACTTCACTATTTTTTTGTCTATATTTTTCCGAGGATTTATTACCATACTATGATAGAAATTGGCATTTTTGCTGCTGCTATATCTTTTTTGTTGCAAGTGTAAGAGGGATTCTTTCTAACTTTAGAAGAAGACATACTTTAGATATTATTGAATCACATATTTTGAGAATTACCATCAACAAGTGCGATATGTGTGAAACGTTGAATGATGAATATGGCATTGAAAGTGATTTAGATGTGATATGCGTCATATAACATGCAATTGTACTTAAATTGTATTGCATGAGCATAACCTGGGTACTAGGAAACATCACATTCGAGAACATAACATATTTAAATTTTATTGATTTATTTTTCAAATACGTGGGTTTAAGTTGGTATGTGTTTATGTTATGAACCCAACTAGGTTGATTTAAATTTGTCTACCTTTATATTCTAAACCCAAATGAGCTTTGGCCAGCATGGGTAAAATATATTACTGTCTAATATACTAGAAATGCTTACCCACACAATGATACCATTCTAGGATTCCTTGATGGCGTTGTAGGGTTGGAGTTAGTGGGGAGAGGTTATAAAATGGCAAGAAAAAAAGAATATGTGAAATCAACATAATTTGGAAGGGGCTGAAGTTGTTCGTCTATTATTTGGTCTTAAAACAGCTGAGTGAACAATAAAAAAGCGGGGTACGGATGACGCGGATGATCCATCACCTATTCTCTTCATGATGTGGATTCATCACTAGAAGAAAAATAGGCTACAACTCTCCAGATAGGAGAAAACTGGGTGAAGAGTCTCCAAATAGCATAAATCAAAGTATAAGTCCTAAAGTCAGATTTCAAGCTACATACTTCAATTAAGGGCTGGCAGCAGCAAACATGTGGGATAATTCCAATTTTTGTTCATCACAGGATGGCACACATCTCAATCCAATCCCGAATCGTGGGATCATGGGAGACTGCTTCTGCATTAATTTCCTCATTAGAGGAAACTTCGCCTTATTCTTTGAAATCATCTGAACCCATGCAGTATGACTATAAGTTAGCCACATTAAATTTGTAGAGATTTTTAAAATCTTTTGATAGATCAAGCTTGTAATCATTATTACTCTTGATAAATTTGAATGGATTATCAGTTCTAGGCTTGCTCTTTTTTTAGTCTGATCCATACCAAATCACTTCTTCATAAAGATCATAACCTTTACGGCTTTGTTAGTCTGCTTCAGATATTTGATGTTTTGCTTGCTATTTTCCTTTCTCACCCAGTACCACCCGAGCCACTGCTAGTATTTTTTGCACCAATAAAGTTCTGTTTGGGTGAGCTACTATATTGTATTTCTTGCACCAACATGACAAGCCTACCTATTATGCAGAACCAAGTCCACAGTTATTGTAGCTATAGTGACATTGATACATACGTTTTCCTTGTGCAGAAAGTTATTCATTTGTCTCTACACTTAGAAGTACTTTAAAAGCCTCGACACGACCATTTTCATAGTTATGTTTGGTGGGTGCCCTATTTATATAGCTTTGTCCACGGTAAATGATAGTAATTGTATCACCGTGATAAATAAAATTTTTCTAAGAATATCGTCCTAGGTAGTGACCCGGGAAGCTTTACATATGCAAATCCATTTATGTTCTTTGGAAGTAAATAATCAATGGAAGCTTCATTCCTAAGCTACTCGGTATCTCTCCTTTTCGTACTTGTCAAATTCAATATCATCAACATTTATAGTTACTTGTATGTTATCCACTGAACATAATAACAAGGAAGTTGCTATAGATTTTATCATCTTCAGACCCATAAAAGTACATATTCTTACAGATTCATATCCTATGCCATCAACATTGTGCCATATTCTAGAATCAATGAGCCAAAAGCGTGAGTGGGAATTGAGACTAGTTCCTTGACCTCTGCAGGTTGACTAACCATTGAAATAAGCTTGTTGGCTTCACCACAAGAAGATTGACATTTGATTCCTGACTTCATAAGGTGTGCCAACAACAAGTTTCTCAATGTTTTGACAGAGCAATGCAATATTTGTTGGGTTGCTTCTTAAACCATATTCAACGACAATAGTAGACCCGATAGCAACCTCAACAGATGCAGAAGAAGAAACACCTTAACTTTTTTGTACAGCTGAAGAAACCAGCATGCTGATGTTATAAATTGCACACCGAGTTCATGCATTAGTATAAGATTGTTCCGATTATATAAACAACCATTTTTGGGATGGAATCTTTGCAAAGTATTTATGTGCCTTCTCTTATGAAATCGGTTTATCATCATCCATAAAATCTGACAAATCCATGTCAAATGTTGGTCCTCGGTTACTTTATTATGATCCAAATGATGCAAGTTTGAGTTAAGGAGTGAATCTTTCTTTTGTCTTCCGAAGTGCTAATGCCTGTAGCCATTGTTTAGTTGGGTGATTCCTTTGAAGAATGATGTGACATGTCTGCCTGATTAGCATCTATTAGACTTCTTGAATAGTTTGTTATTATGATTATTATATCAACTTTCTCGGAGCCATTGCTATTTGAATTTTGTTCTCGGACTCTTGAGATGAGAGTATGATGTGATTTTTTTTTCTTGGTGAATGAATATATATATGCTAGTAGCCATCATGACATGTACAACAATTGTATTGCGAAAGATGACTCAATAGTATGTGACAAGCATCTATAGGTACTACTATGTTGCACCACATTCTCTTGGAACTTGTCTCCAATAAATAACTTAATGATATATTTTTTGTTAAATGTGATCTCATTCCATTTTTTCAACCTAGATAGAGAATAAAGTTGAATGTGCTTCGGTGTGGTAAGTCCCAACTTGTCTACTTTTTATGTAGATACCACATTATCACAACTATTTCCATTTATGACAGGACTACACACTTTTTTTCTTCATTATGTAACGGGTATGAAAGATATTATGGTAGAGCCATTATTTCTCTCATGGGCTCGATTTGAAGGATCCGTCGAACCACTAGTATCTCTCTCTCGTCGGCTGGGAGCTGATATTCCTTTCTAGCATCCTCATTTTTTCCTCTCCAATGTTGTTTTCCATTTCTTCCACCACTGCTCACTCAGTGAAAGATATCACTCTTCCGTTTGGTCAATCAGACAAAATATGCTCAAAATCGTGATTCTTGATGCACTTCTTAATTGAAAATGTCTTGAGGACGCTTGCCTGACTAGTAATCTTTTCTTCTTTTGTTGGCTTCTTCTCACTGGGGATAGATCTTGGCCCTCTAGTTAGTGCTCTTTCGTTGCCCTATCTGATAATTGAACTCTGTTTGAAGGGTGGGTTGTGTGGACTTGATGTCGTATTGCTCTCTCGACCTTCAGGGCTAAGGTCTAAATATTCATGAATGTCTAATAGAGTTGTAATTGTACCACATTGCAAATGGACGGTCTCAATCCTCTCAAATACTCGGCTATGATGTTCTTTTTTGGGCTACATTAGCTCATATTTTAACATAAGATGCTCAAACTCAGGTGTACTTGTCTTCTGAGAGGTGTTTTAGTTGCAGTGGTGAAGCTTTAATAGCAAATCATACATGTAATGTGTTGGCGTGTACTTGTGTTACATCCTCTTCATCATCTTGGATTGTAGTATTACTTTCTCCCTCACGTTGATGCAAGTTCTTCAGGTTACCATAAGAAAGCATTTTTCTTTAATTTGATTGCAACTAACTTCACTTTCCTATCAGGTTGAACGTCCTTATACTCAATGACTTGTTGCACAATCTGGATCCACTCAATAAAATTATTTGAGTCCATATGGTCATTAAAATCCAACAAATTAACCTTCACTCCATAGTCACCCTCCCTCCTATAGTTAATACTAAGTTGACACAATATTTGCTCTTCATCGCTTGAAATTTCTTGGTGGAAAAAGTTTTCTTCTTCTATATCTAGGTGTTCATTCTTGTTGCTATGGGTGACTTTCTCTTGTTGACTCCTTTCAAAATCAATGAGCTTCCGTTGCAATTGGAGACTTTTTTTATGCATATCTTCCATGGTGTGATCTTGAACACCCCTTTGAGGATTCATTTTGTCGGCATGGTAGATCTCCACACTTTAGGGTTATGTTGATAATGAAAATTTTGGATCTAAAGTTAGCCAAAAGCTTGGGGCTAAGTGGAGGATACAAGGACGATTTTGGTGGAGGTATTTTGTTACGTGGATTGTTCGTTTAGGAATGTAAAAATAAAGAAAATGACAAATCCCTAAAGCTTTAAGGTTTTCTAGACACTGATACCAAATTATACTGTTCTAAGATTCCAAGGTGTTGTTGGGTCAGATTTAGTGGAGTGGTTGCAAAATAATAAGAAGAAAATATGCAAAACCGGTGGAATTTGGAAGGGTTTGAAGCCGTTTGGCAGTTATCTGGTGTGAAAACAGTGGAGCGAACAATGAAACAGTGAGGTGTGAAGGATGGGGAGGATCCACGACCTGTTCTCTTCAAGATACAGATTTAGACGCAACTCTCCAAATAGGAGAAAGCGGGGAGAAAATCTCCAAGTAAGATAAACTAATGAAAATATTCCAAAATCAAGTTTTAAGCAACATACGTATCCTAAGGCATAAATTAAAGTAAATTCTAATTAAAATAGTATTAAAAAGGGGCCCACTAGGGCTGGCAACCACAAATATGTGGAAGAATCTAGAGTTTTGGTATTCTCGAGATGAAACTCTTTCTGATTCGACTCAGTGATCACGAGATTGCAGGAGACAGCCCTCACGTCACACAGCGTCCTGCCGCAATGCCACCGTAAATCACGTAAACAATGATACATTTATCTTGTTGAAATTGATAAAATTTTTTAATGTACCAAAAGGAGTTCAAGCTGTGCTTTCTGTGAAAAAATAAAAATAGTGATTTAGGCACGGGCAAAGGCAACCTTCCCCATCACTAGAAAAAAGCTTGAAACAACGACCTTGAGTCCTACCCCTTCCCTGTCATTAGAAAAAATTATGAAATAACCACCTTCAGTCCTTTCTTTTTTTGCTCTCTTGATCAAGCATATTTCTTATTTTTTGTTGTTGTTATCAGGATGAAGATGATGAAATTGAAGGCGAAGAAGGTGGGCTGAGTAAATCTGGCAAGGAATTGAAGAAGCTGCTTGGCAAAGCTGCTGGACTTAATGAATCTGATGCCGAAGAAGAAGAAGATGATGATGATGTGAGCTCTCATGTTATTTTGAAAATCTTAAAAATTTTCCATATTCTGCTTACAGTAATGGTGCTAGAGGAAATCATTCTACCTTAACCTTAAGATGTAGAAGTACATGTTGGCTGTTCACGACTACTCTAGATGTTTGTTGATTTGCAAGTTTAAGTCCCTCTAATTTTGCTTGTGCAGATGGATGATGAGACTACAATTTCTCCAGTGCTTGCTCCAAAACAAAAGGATGCACCAAAAGATGAGCCTGCCGACAACAGTCCTGCAAAACAAGCTTCCGGATCTGCTCGAGGAACACCATCTAGCTCCAAATCATCAAAGTCAAAGAAAAAGACAGGAAATGACGATGGAAAGTCTGTTACAAGTACCCCGGCAAAGAAGGTAAAATTTTGTTTAAGTTGCTTTTTATCTTCATATCAATATACTCTCAATGTTCTTTCTATAAAAATATATATCGTTGTCTCAGGAAACTAAACCATTATCTATCAAGGAGGAGTCACCATCTACCTTTCAAGCTGGTGCACCTTCAAGAGGTTCATCTTCTACAGCTGCAAGAACAGCACCAGTGCCAAGCGGTCCGGTAACAGAGGAAGAAATTAGAGCAGTTCTATTAGCGATGGCTCCAGTCACAACACAAGACTTGGTTGCTAATTTCAAGGGAAGAATTAAATTGAAAGAGGTGGGTTGTTAGTTTGTATGAATCATATTACAAGAATCTTTATCTTCAAATTTTTTACTAGATAATATTTCAATTTTGAGTAGCATTAATATGGAATCTGTTATAAATATGCATGACACATCACTTTCTAGGATACATTTTTTAAAATATTTCATGTTCGATTATTCAGACATAAAAGAAGATTAAATCTGTTTTGGCTTGTATCCAATTGTATTCCTTTCCAACTTCCTTGGGTATCAATCTGTTCTTTTTATTTAAGAGGTTAATGCCTTTAAGTTTTACTCATTCTGTTTTGAAAGGCTGCAAGTTTTTATTTTAAATCTCGAATCATATACATTTCTCATAATGATGTAAGATGGGACTATATTAAGTAGATTTATTTATGCATGCATACTCTGGAAGAAAATACTAATAGAAACGCTAGGTTGCAATCTAAAACACCTACTGTAGAAAAGAAATGGCCGGTTTGTTTATTTCTCCATTGAGTATTCGTTTGCTAAACCATTTAGAGAATAAACAATCTTAAAGAGTACAACAACTTTAAAACAAAAAATTGTTATCCATAATTTCCTTACATGCCTTGCTTGTTGGTTGTCCCTTGTTGCCTTCCTATGTCGGCTGGTGGGAGCAGACAATGGCCTTACCCTTTTTTTGCACATTGATTTGTGGCAGATGCATTTTCTTGTTTAGCACATTAATTTGTGGCTTCATTACCTTCCATGTTTGCCAATCCGATTAGTCCTTGGTATTCGTACACTTCTTATCATTGGATGGTGAAGATATGCAATTCTAAGTTCACTTATAATATTTTTAAATGCAGTTTCGCAAAGTCCTTCGGTAAATGTGTTGGAAAGTTGGCTTGTTTTAGGAATACACATTGTACAAATTACCCAATTTAAAATTTTTCTCTTATGAGTGCCATTCCACCTTCATATGTTTGGTTTGATCATGGACAATGCTAATGATAGGATTATTGTCTAAGTACATGTCTTCATATGTCCTTTTCATTTAACTTTTAAACCTTCTAATATAATTTTTATCTATAGAAGCTTACAAATTTGCTGGGTGATTGCTCTAAATTAAGATTTAGTAGCTGATCTTGAGATAGATAATGCTTTGCCCGGATTTCCTTTTAGTATTGTGCAATATTTTGAATGGATCTCTTATCCACCATTGATTTAGCATTGTTAGCATTAGTATAGTATTCAATTTAAAAGTTTCATATTTTTTTGTTGGGAATTTCTTTTTCATAATTTTTTTTAGATTCCTTTGAATCTTATAACTAGGATGAAATTGAGATTCAGTTGGTTTCTGCATAAATCAAATAAGGAGACTGGTTGTAAAAGTGATGTTTCTGCTTCCCTTGAGTCCAATTTATTAATTGATTCAGTTGGAGTTTCACATAGCTTATAATCATTTTTGTTTTTTCTAAAAGATTCATAAAATGTTTTCTATTGAGAGATAAAAATTTAGAATCGCAATCAATCTTATAGAAAATTATATTCTTTTATTTTTTATTCATATGATAAAAAATTAAAATTAATGTTGATATTGAAAATAATATGAAAATAATGCTCAAGTTTATTTTAATCAAATTGCATCTTTTATTTTTGATAGAAAAGATATTACTCAGCTCATCCTACTCTGACAACTATCGGCCAAATTAGAAATGGTAGGCCGCCAGAATGGATATCCCAATGCCCGATTTTAAAAGAGGTTTAATTTAATTTATATATAATTTGAAAAAAAGTAATATTTTAATTTTTTTTGAAATACAAGACCGAACTGATCTCATATCTGCAATAGCTTAAATGATCGAACACAGCACCGTAAGCGACACATCTATCCAGAGGAATAGACATATTATTTACTAGCGCGACTCGATTAAATAAACTAAAGATTTTATGACATCCGTTTTATTCTGTAAATCTTTATGTTGACCGACAATTTCTTCTATTTAATACAGGAGATTAAATGAGGTTTATTTTAAGCTGGGTTCTTAAGTTCCCTATAGAGGCAAACCCTTATAATTAATTACATCTTAAATGACTGAAGTCACTTAAGAAGACTCTCGATTAAGATCAGTGGTTTTGTCTTCAAGATTGCAAATTTTAGGTTTCCAAGGATAAATATTAGGAAATCAAAGAGAGAAAGGGCTCAAAATATGAACAGTTATTTCTCAGGAGTCGATGAAGGGAAAGGTAACGGATGTCACATATCCAGGGAGAAACCCAGTGCCCGGTGACTTCCTGATGGTGACTTCTTAACTATCGTACGATTGGACCTTAACTCTAAGGAGACATCCTACGCCTCGTTGTCGTGATCTCGATCGTCGCCCTTCGTCTGCTTGCTTCCACATTCCGCTTCTTGGGAAGACTACTCTAAGCTCCTAACAGATCGATTAGAGGCTCAGGGTTGTGGTGTGTATAAATGTGCAGTTGTTGGGTCAGTGGCTCGCCACAGGGTATCTCCAAAACCGGGTGTCCTGCTGACCTCTAACCTACCCCTGCAAGTCTGTAGAAACAACATGAGTTATAAAAGAGAATATACAATGTGACATAGTAAACAGTAAATAGTAGTATTACAGGCATGAATTATGTGTATACACAGGAAAGGGTGCAGTAGCAAAAGTAAACGCTGTAAATATAAAACAAACTTGCATATCTGACGGGTCGGCAGCTCCTGAAAGAACTTGAGAAAAGGCGGCAGATGACCCAAAGTAACTCGAAGAAAACCGTCGAAAAACATGAGGAAAATTCGAAGGAAATCACCAGTGTTTTACAAAGATTTCGATAAAACCGTAAGAAAACACATAAATATCCAATTTCGATAAAAATACGTAGGAAAACACCCAAAAATCCAAAGAAAGAAAGAAAGTCGTAAGCATTCGGGTCGGGCTAGGCTCAGAATTAGGTATTCTTGAGTGACTCTAAAGGCAACCAAAGATTTCGATAAAACCGTAAGAAAACACATAAATATCCAATTTCGATAAAAATACGTAGGAAAACACCCAAAAATCCAAAGAAAGAAAGAAAGTCGTAAGCATTCGGGTCGGGCTAGGCTCAGAATTAGGTATTCTTGAGTGACTCTAAAGGCAACTATCGGTCACCCATATGTATAGAGCCCGACATTCAACTAGAAAGGTGTCCTATTATACCAACTCTGGTGGGTACTCCTTAGCCCAATACCAGCGATTAACAGGTGAATAATTGAATTTTGTTATTTAAAATTTATATTTTAACATGCATATATGGGTTTCATGCATGGAAGAAAAGTTAGTATTAATTTTTGGTAGTCAAAATATTTTGAAAGTAGCGCATATGTTCTTATCGTATATGTTCTTATCATTTTCTTTTGATTGAAAATATGATTATCCACAAGTCAATTTCACCGGGTCCCGGAATTGGGTCCCGATGTTGTACGAGGGAATATTATTCCGCTCTACCACCGAATGCCTTATCATCACGGCCTAATACCTCAAAAAGACATTCCAACTTACGATCTTGTTTGATGGTTTCACATATAGGCATACCTATACAAATGCACTTATGTTTCAGACATAAGCACGTAAAACTCAAACCAAGAAGCAAGTAAAATGAACCGAAAAGCAAGAAATGAAAAAGAAAGAAGGCTAACCCACCTCCAAAATCAATTTAGAAAGAAAAGCCAAAGTGGTAGGAGAATTAGCCTAAAACATCCAACTGGTGGGACTTCTCGATTGAGCAAAATGAGATGGGCACATCCCCAAGCCTAGCTAGGAACAATTCCGAAATGCACAATTTACAGACCTCCAAGCTACCTAAACCTTTCTCATAGCCTAAAACATCCAACTGGTGGGACTTCTCGATTGAGCAAATATTTTTTTTTTTTTTTTTTTTTTTTTTTGCAATCAATCCAGCCTGCAGAATTGGGCCCTGAAACATCTCCAAACATTTAGCATATCATTCCTCGAAAAGAGGCATTTGAATTCTTCCAAATAACAAGAATTGAAGTATTCCATTTTACCAAGATTAAAGCATTCAATTCCACCTCAAGCCAAAAGCTTCCAATGCCATATGAACCCAACATCATTCAAAGAATCCCATATAGGTGCTCACGGCCAGGGCAACAAGGAGCCATCAAACAGGTGCACAAGGGAACCAACAAACAAAGACAAGGGGGGCTCTCGGGTAGGAAGAGCAAGAGGAGCCACCAAACCCAAACCAACAGCCACAAGCTCACGAGTAGGAGCAGCTAAAGGGGAGCCTCCAGCTAACACTCAACGCAAACAGGAGAACACAACAGGAAGTTTCACGACCAGGGGACGCCAGGATGGAACGCCAACCCACACTCACACTCAGGAAATAGCAGGAAGACCCACACCTAGGGGAAGTAGCAAAGGGGACAACAAAACCCAAACTAAACAGAAGAAACACAACAGGAAGGCTCACGGCCAGGGGCAACTAGGAAATAAAACCAAGCCCAAAACAAGCTCCCAAGCTTTTAAATGAAAACCAAATTTTCATCCAACCTATATTTCGAATAGGGAAGCCTCAACAGGAAATGAAACTAAACCCCAAAACCACTGCTAAAAACATCAAACAAATTTCAGTATATATTCGAACAGGAGCAGCAGCAGGGAGCAAAACCGAACCACTAAAAGAGTTGCTTAAAGCAAGAAATAATGCCAACATGTATTCGAACAAGAGCAGCAGCAGAAAGAGCAAAACCGAGCCACCAAACAGCTGCTCAAAGCACCAAAAAAACATTCAGCATGTGTTTGAATATAGGGAACAACAGGAAGCAAAATTTAGCCACCAAACCAAACCTCCAAGAGCCCTAAAAACAAATAAAAGCCACCTGAATATGTTTCGAGTAGGAGGGCAGCAAGGAAGCACAAAACAAAACCCCCAAATTAAAATCTTCAAAAGCCTCAGTGTCAAATCAGTACAGCAAAGGAAACTGCAGCCCATAGGGCTAAAACAGCCCATAAATCCTCCATGTTAAACCCAGGCAGCAAG